CCCAATCAGCCTTGCTTGACTGCTTTTCCCCTGTTCTCCAGGAGTGGGGAAGCTGCCCCACTACAGGGGGTCATAAAATTACCTAAGATAAAGAGATGGTGGATTGTCACAATGGTCCTTTTGCACTTAACTCAACTGCTACTCTATGCAACGGACAGAGCAGCACCGAGTACCAGTGTGACAGTCCTGGATGAGCTCCCCCTGCAGGACATTCACCAGGCTGCTGTACTGGACACAAGCCTTGTGTCCCAGGCATGTGCTCATGGCCTGCAAGGGCTGGGCAGAGTTTAGGCACTGTCTCTCTGGCTGTGGACCACCAGGCATGCTCTCTAGCTGCAGACTCTGTGTCTGACACTCCGCTTGGCAGTGGGGACCTGCAATCCAATTGCCTAGGTCCTGAAACTAGTGCCAGCTCTCCCAAGCCTCCCCAGTAGCTACTGCACATTTTCAGAGTTCCACTGATGCTGTGGACTCTCTAGCTTACTGCTTTCGTCTTGGGGAACACAGACAGTGTCAGTAAACAATTCACAAAAGAGAATTTCTAAATTCACACACACTTTATACAAGAGATGTACAAATCTATAAAAACAACAAAAACCTGCGCGCAAATCCTTACCTCACCATCCTCTGGAGCCAAAAGAAGATGAAACTATATACAAAAGTACAGATTTATCAAACCTGGGTACCACCGATTCTTTCATATGGATCTGAAACATGGTCATTGCTTCAACAAACATCAGGAGGCTTGAGGTACTTCATATGCACTGCCAGAGGTGACTACTGGGGATGTGATGGCTTGACTTTATCAGTCATAAGGAGGTGTCATTGAGAACAGGCCTCAAGAGGAATGATGTCATCATTGGTCACCACTGGCTGGCTCTTTTTGGTCACATTGCCCGCCTTGGAAACAAAGTCCCTGAACATTGTGCTCTGAAGATCAGACTTGAGGTAAGAAGGGCTCACTGACCCATCATGGACTGGCAGCTGTTACATGGTCACTCGTGATTAACCTGACTGCACCAGATCAGTAATAATCCTGTGGCGCTTGTAGACACCTGGAATACAGCCATACATTCAGTGCCTCTGACCTTTGCTGTCTAAGTGTATTGTTGTTGTTTCCTTAACATTCCAAGAGGCCCTTGGGATTTGGTTAGTGTCTGTTCAGGGAGCCCAGGATTCTCCTCTCCTGCTTAGCCTTGTCTTCTGGTTCTGGTCTGCTTCCCTCTCTGCCTCGCTCTAAAATGGCTGATGAAAGAGCATTTTATCAAGTTCTAGTCCCTTTTGTCAGGTGACCCCTACCCCGACCCCAGTGACTTCAAGTCCCTCATCAAGTGACCTACTGTTTGATTACAAGGCCACCTGGGAGAACAGGTTTCTCTGGGCTATTACTAACTCACTGTGGAAGAGAGCTTCCATTTGAACAGAAGATCCTGCAGGTTAACAGTCCTCGATTGTTCTGCATTTTTCATCCTCTGGTAATGCCTCTTGGATTCCCAGTCCAGGATGGAGGTGAAGAGACAACAGTGAAGTCACACTGCTATAGTGTTATTATCAAAAGGGTGTTCCCAAAACAAACAGGAGTGTGTAGTTTGATATAGGTTATGACTACACTTAGGGGTGGCGTGTAGAGCACAGGCACTACACGTGCACCTACATGCGACAGTGAAAGGTTCCGGCACTGGGGAGGCAGTGGGACACTATGCTGCTAAAAATACCAGTGTAGACATGGAAGGCACTGCTTGGGCATGTAGAGAGCCCATGAAGGGGATATACCATGGGGGTTCAGCCAGCCATGTAGGGCCTTTGACTTACTCTACTTACCTAAGCCGCGTCTCACTATCTACACTGCTATTTATACCTGTGTTAGCTGGGCGTGCAGCGTCTGTACTCTACACAACACCCAAATGTAGACATAGTCATGGATAGAGGCATACACTAATCCATCACAACCAGGAAACCCAATTCTTTTATTTTTTAAATCCATGTCTGATATTATCCCAAAATATTTCCATGGTAATTCTTCTAAAAAACCACCATAGGTAGTTTGAAATTTTTCCGAGAGGGTTTTTTTTTTTTTTTTTTTTTTTAATTTTCTTAGAATTTTTTGATTTTTTAACACACAAAAAGATTTTCTAGAAATGTATTGTTCCTGAGACTTACTACAGTAAAGTTAGCCCAGTTTAAAATGGTTCAGCATTAAATATTTCTTCCCACAAACAAGCATCTCCATGATTATTTCTTTGCCAAATCTGTCCAGACAAGCAGAAAGTCCTCTTTTATAGAGAGACTACTGGACATACTGAAATATTAGTGTTGTAGAGGACTGAACCAACTCCCATTGCCGTCAGTGGAAAGATATCTATAGACTCCCATAGGAGTTAGATCAGGCCCTAGATGTGGGCTTCTACAGTAAATGCTCTCTGTCTCTAAGAGATGATAAATATTATATTTCCTCTTGAGAGAGACTTCACGTTCACCGCAAACTAACTCATGCTTTTTGAAAAAAGTGTGCACCTATTGAGCAATCTGCCAATGTAAGAAAACCTTACTCAGGCAAACCACCGCATAGGTGCTGGAACTAAGGATGCTGGTGGTGCTGCCGCTCCCCCTGGATTGAACTAGTTTCCATTATATACAGGGTTTACAGTTTGGTTCAATGGCTCTCAGCACCCACCACTATACAAATTGTTCCAGCGCCCCTGACCACAGGTAGAGAAAGCAGCTTCCATTTCTACAGTCAGTTAGAAAGAAACAGTTGGTGCTAGTGAGTCCTCAGAATGAGTAAGTTCAGAATCTGAGATAGAGGAGATTGGGAAGCTTAGTGGAGGAATTATTTTTTCCCTCTCTGCAGTAGAAATGGCTCAAGTCCAACCTAAGGTTTAATTAGTTTGAAGAAGAGTTTTCGACAGAGTAAGATAAACAAAATACACCCCCTCTGTACATTCCTTCACTTAGAATAGAAGAAAAAAAGATGTAGGTGGCTTCCGGCTCCTGGTGCTATAATATAGTGAACTCAGCATGCAAGTCCTAAATCTTATTTTGATGTGAAATTAGCCAACGTGGAAGGCGACTGGGAAGGGAGGAGTGGTAGAAAAAAGATTTTCATTGGTATTCTATAGTCTCTTTAAAACTATGCTTTACTTAATGTTACACACAAAAAACTATCTTAAAAGAAATTAAGGTTGTAAAGTCAAGCACTCAAAAGTATGTAAATGCCAGAATTAAGGTTGTCGGTGCAGCCCTAATTTGGTCCCCTTCTGTGTATCCATTCTGAGACAGTCTTTAATAACATGATTACATTCTATTTTTTTACACAGGACCCTACCTCATTCAGTGCGCAGAATGAACAGTGCTCACTTAATGAGAGCTATTCAATATTTCGTTTTCTTCTCATTGTTCCATGGATAGCCCTAAACTATAGTTACTGCACACTATTCAAACCCTGCTCTGAAGACAGAATTATTAAATTTCCTCCAGGGCTTTTCTATGGTGCTCATCCCTATACTGTACAAGTGCTTCACAAACATTAATTAACCTTCAAAAAACTGGTATGAGACAAGGAGATACTATCCCCATATTACATATGGGCAGCTGGGGTGCAGAGAGATTAAGGTCCAAAGTAGCCACTAATTTTGGATGCCCAACTTGAGATGCCAAGGAACCTGATTTTTCAGAGGACTTAGCAATATAGAGCATTTTATATATCCAAGCACAACTCCCATTGACTGATTGCTCATGTCAGCAAATAGGAAATATTACTCAAGGTTTATAGCTGTAGAGGCATGTGTGGGGGCTGAGAGAAGAGGGAGAGACTGTCTGCTACTTTTACTCCACAATTAGCAGTACATATAATTAAAACTTCAGCAGCAGTCGTGACTCAGAAAGAGAGGAGTCCAATTATCAATCCGTTTTCAGCCCTGGAAAAGAATTAGCCTTTTTAACCACAGTAATTTTAAACATATTCTCAAGCTAAATACACTGCAACTCCACTTCTAGAAATTTATGATTAAGCTAGATATGGTCCTCTAGTTAGACTTCCTTCCAATGAAGGATTTTTTCCCATAGTATGTTTACTAATGTTTTGTCCAGGCTAGATTTAAAATTTTCCAAGTGGCAAGGAACAAATGCAGGTGGTGAAAGTAGGACAGACAGCATCCTAATCAGCAACATATTAAATACTGTAATTAGGGGAGAGCAAGAGCACCCTACAGATATGTTCCTTTATTCCAGGGTCTTCCAATCAACAACAAGAATCGTACTCCAAAGAGTCACACCCGTGAAATAACATTTAGATCATCTACGTAGCTCCTCATATAACTTGTATTATCACAAACAAGACCTCAAAAATTGTTACCTCTTTGAACAGGACAGTGCACTAGAGGCACTTTAATACAGCCAGGTGCAGGGCTTTAGATATTCCAACAACAGTCATATGGAAATCTGAAATATTGATACTCAACCACAGAGATGATACCCAGAACTGATATAACTAAAACATGGCATGGTAAGATTCTGTTTAGTTTTTCTGATAGTGTGAATGGAAAGTTGGTATCATTAAAGCCAGAGGGACAGATCCTCAGCCAGTGTAAGTGTACATAGCTCCACTGAAGTCAGTAGGGCTCCATTGATTTACACCAGTTAAAGATCTGGCTCCAAGCATCTGGACCTATTTGAGTACTGCCTGGTGTGACTGGCAAAGGGCTGCAGGGCTCTGCATAGAATGGATCAGATGGATACTCACAAGCTTCATCTCTAATGAAATATAAAATTGAAATTACTCTAAGGTTAAAATACATACAGGAAACCCTGAAAATCACACACAGTAAGCCACAAAACTGTTCTTATGGAGCTCCTAATGCACCGTACTACTAATTCGTGACTTCTGTATTTATAGAAAGCTGTCAGTTGGAAAAGAAGGGTGTAAATATTTGGAACGGAAATGTTGGGTTAAAAAAAAAATTCAGCAACCAACAAGCAAAAAGCTCCAACAAAATTCATACCATTCAATCCACAAGCTTGTTCCTTGTCTGTTGTGGTCTCCCGGCGTTGCCTTAAAGCATTTTGAAGGATATTTGCCCTGTAGATTATGTGTGGGTATGGTATTCCCTCTTCCAGTGGATGCTTTTTGACAGGCTCAATGAAGTAGTCCCCCTGAGGCAGACGGAAATATCCAGTCTGAAAATAAGAACAGAAATGTTAATTTCAACTGCACCTGTCCAACACTCTGATTCAAATCTGAATGAGTCTGGCTGTTCCCTCACATCAACATCTTTGGGCTTTTCTGATAAGTTAGCCATGTTTCACTCAACAGCTTTATATGAAAACAAAATGGGGGGGTTACTACTTTTTTTTCTTTGTAACATAAGATACAAAAAGGGGAACTTTGAAGTCTTGCTAGGAACTCAGCACTTGAGGGTAATAAAAATGGAGGATGCTGCTTTGACAACTCGCTAGCATCATAGTCCTGCTGGGCCCAGCTTACAAGAGTTGCTCACATGAACTCCTTTCTAAGAAGCTGTGCCCCTCTTCATCATGGCAAAGGTTTTCAGACTTCAACAACGCTGACAAAAGAGCAAAGTTAATCAGTCAAAATGCTGCATTCATGACACAGTAGTCTTTTGTTTTCCTAGGGCTATACAACAAAACTTGTATAGAGGCTGTTGCACAATGGGGGAGAATAATTCCCTCCACTGAAGGAATTACGGGATGAAATTCCATGACCGGTATTATACCGAAGCTCAGACTAGATGGTCCTAGTGGTTCCTTCTAGTCTTACAATTTATGAAAGCCTTACTCTCCTCTGACCTCACAGTGAAACAGGGGTGTTTTTTCCGTAGATTTTAAGGCCAGAAGGAACCATTGTGATCACATAGTCTGACCTCCTGCATAACACACACTGTAGAATTTCTCCCAGTTTCTCCATCAAGCTCATAACTTCTGGCTGAGCTAGAGCATCTTTGATTAAAGACCTCAAATCTTGATTTCATGGGATTGCTTTAAAAATCCCAGCCCTGATGTTCTAAGGGCTACGGTGGGAGATTAGGCTCTGTCCCGGAGAACTCAGTTCAGTTTCTCCTGCCGCCCACATGGCATTTTTACACAAGAGTTACCAAACATTTAAACAGAACAGCACAGCCTCCCCACTTCAGCATACACATTGGACCAATAGCAATTCTGCCTATAGACTTGCTTTAGATCCAACACCAGCTGCACATCACCAGGCTTGTAGTAGACAGAGGATCCTCCCCAGCTATCCACCTCCCCTTTTTGTTTCATTCTGGTCACTGAACTCTCCTCCTTTCCTAGCTTCATATGGGAAAGGCAGTAAAGATCACTTGGCAGACACACTCCAGCCTCGCATAGCTAAATTCACAAGAAAAGACAGACACACGTGAAAGAAAAATCATCATATTCTCAATTCCCTGTGTCAGCAAGAATAATTAATCACGAGCTATGTGTATTACCTGGCCCAAAGACAGCCCAAGTCCAAGAAGTCCAGTACGGATCCAACAAGTCCTGCTCCAAGGTTCAACCTTCTCCAGGCACTTGCTACATACCTCCAGTGCCCAATCCACACCTCTTAAATGTCCATATACAAATATACACCTTGAGATGAGGGATTGGGGTGCAGGTATTCATAGCCTGTTTTTCCTTGTGCATTCCCCCAGGGGAAGGAGGTAGGAAGTGAATTAAATGCACTTTCCGCTGAGTTTTTGTTATCTGCATCATTAATGCCTCTGTTGCAGAAATCCTTCCCTCCAGCCCAATTTCTATTGCAAATGAAACTAAAAATACCAAGGTTGCCCTTTAAAAAAAAAAAAAAGTCTGTGATTTTATTGAGGCTGTCAATATAAACTTCAACACCCAGTGAAGGTTTACAGATTCTGGATTAGGGCTCGAATTCACAAAGGTTTACTGCTCTGGGTTTAAATGAGACTATAAATAATAAAAAAAGAGAGAGTCAGGAGTCCCAGTTTTTAGCATAAAAACAAAATATACAAGTCAGCTCTTCATTAGATACCATAAATCAAAGCTACTTTTGAAATCGGAGTCTGACACGCAATATTAAAGTACAGAAACCCTAGCATTAAATCTGTGGTAGATAAAGAAGCCAAGCAAGCATGAGTCCAACAAATAGGGAATGCAAAGGAGAGGCTATACAAGGCAAGGATGTTATATCAGGGTTCTATCAAGGCTACTTAAAAGAGCAAGTTATAATGACAGTACTGCCTCCAAAACCCTAGTCCCAAATATCTATCTGAGCTTTATGCTCGGGCCAAATAATGTTGTATATAGTATAGAACAGGGGTGGGCAAACTTTTTGGGCCGAGGGCCACATCTGGGTGGACAAATTGTATGCAAGGCCGGGTTAGGGGGTTGGGGTGTGGGAGGGGGTGCGGTGTGCAGGAAGGGGCTCAGGGCAAGGGATTGGGGCAGAGGAGGGGTGCAGACTGTATGAGGGGGCTCAGGGAAAGGGGTTGGGGTGCAGGAGGGGTGCAGAGTGCAGGAGGGGGCTCAGGGCAGGGGGTTAAGGTGCAGGAGGGGTGCGGGGTGCAGCAGGGGGCTCAGGGCAGGGAGTTGGGGTGCAGGAGTGGTGTGGATGTACGAGGGGGCTCAGGGCAGGGAGTTGGGGTGCAAGAAGGGTGCGGGGTGCATGAGGGGGCTCAAAGAAGGGGGTTGGGGTGCAGGGTGCAGCAGGGGACTCAGGGCAGGGGGCTGGGGTGCAGGAGGGGTGTGGCAGGGGGCTCAGGGCAGGGAGTTGGGGTGAGGGAGGGGTGCGCGGTGCAGGCAGAGGGCTTAGCGCAGGGAGTTGGTGAGCGGGGTGCAGGAGGGGTTCGAGCTCCAGGGTGGCAGCAGTGCGCACCAGGGCCAGGGCAGGTTCCCTGCACGCCTGCCCTGTCCCCGGCCCCGCACCACTCCAGGAAGCGTTGTGGCCCCTGGGGAGGGGGGGAGAAAGGCTCCACGTGCACTGCCCTTGCCATGCCTCCAGGTACCTCCCCCGAAGCTCCCATTGGCCACAGTTCCCCGTTCCCAGCCAATGGGAGCTGCGGGGGGCGGTGCCTGTAGACAAGGACCCGGGGGCTGCAGGGACGTCGGGCCGGCCGCTGCTGAAAGCGGCACGGGGCCCATGGCACCACGAGGGGCAATCCCGCGGGCCAGATCCAAAGCCCTGAGGGGCTGAATCCGGCTTGCGGGCCGTAGTTTGCCCACACCTGCTCTATCTCTCTCTCTAATAGGTCCTGGCTCTCCCTTACCCTTTGTTGCGGTCTTCAAGGTGGTGGGACAGTTGGTCTGCAATCCTTCTCTCCAAAGTCTTCAAGTAGTGGCAATCTTTAGGGGCAACCAACTGGCACACTCTCCTTGAGTCTTCAGGGGGCAGAGCACATGGGCCTGCTCTTCCTTACCAAAAAGTTGACTAGTGTCTCCAGGAGGGGAGGGAAGGAGTCATGCCAGTCCTCCTTTGCTACAGCAGTGGACTAGGAACTCAATCACCATATAGTGTCTGAACATCTTACAGTAGTGCGTTGGAGTGTGACTAACATCTCTCATGTATGGTTTATTCTCCCATCCTCTCCCCAGGGGGAGAAGTGTGTGTGCAGTATAGTGTTGTGCTAGAATATGATTTTTGATGTTTTATTTATACCCCTCCTCTCTTAGAGAAGACAACATCAAAGAGATACACCTTGTGATTGGAGTAGGAGGTGGAAAGATTTGTAATGGTCTTTTGTTTCTATGAGAGTTTATTCCAGTGTGCCAGATCTGCCCACATGAAAGCTCAGTCTCCTACACAGATGACTTTAACCCTTGCGATCAAAAGTTCCATTGTGCGTCAGAAGTGGAGCTGTTGATCGCAGTCTTTATCCCAGAGCTTTAGTAGGTCTTCAGATGTACTGGGCCCAGGCCTTTGATTGCTTTGAAGATAAGGATCAAGACCTTGAGCTTGACCGGATATTCTGTGGGAAACCAGAGTGGCAAGTGGAGGACAGGTCTGATGTGCTTGTGATAGCCCATGTTGCTGTGGAGATGTTCTGGCCCTTTTATGGGGTTGCTGATTCATGATTTTATCATGAATCTTGCAATATCTGGTGTTTGTCTTAAAGGCCCAGCTCCTGGAATCCTTATACTAAGGGAGAATCTAATAAAAGATTTTATGAGCTCTCAGTTGTAGAGAAAAACTTGAAAATATCAATACAAAAGGCTGAATACACAGCAGCCAAACAAGAACTCAAAATGTATTTTAAAATAATCTCATGATTTATTAATGCCTGGGTTTGTCAATATTGCTTATGTTATTCTGGGTTGACAGACCTCAGAACAGTTGTCACTGAAAGGTAATCATGAGACTCACAGTAAAACTAAGGAGTACTGCAGCCATCTGAACTAAAACGACTTATAAATGCATGAATACTGAAGCAATCCAAGATCTCAGAGCTATTCCCATGCACAGGGAGAATTGTTTACTTACTATATGGTAGTGACCTTACAGACATATTGGGAGGATTAATGTTTGTTCAGCACTCTGGGATTTATTAAGTGTTCAGTTATGAGGCATCTGTGTCAGGGGCTCATTTTCTGTTGTCTTGCAGACTTATGCTCACCAGCCTTTGGACCATATTGATAGTAGTTAGACATTAGCATGACTGCAATGAAATTAAATGGCTGGGATGAAACTGATCTACTGTTCTAATGCCAAGGAATTGAGTAGAATGTATTACATTCACAACGCAATTAATTTGCTTTTACACAAGGAGAAAGGTCATGTAGAGAGAGTCAACTTTCGTCTGCTGTAACAAAAATCAATTTGCTTCACAGCAAGTACTTATAGATCCTATATTCTACTAACTTATTGGATTTGTCTGAACCATCTTGACTGTTGTATGTCTTATATTTTTCCGGGGGGGGGGGGGGGGGAGGGGAGGGTTTTTTTTTGTTTTTTTTTTTTGTTTTTTTTTTTTTTTTATTTTTTTTTTTGGTTTGTTGTTTGGTTTTTTTTGGGGGGGGGGGGGGGGGGAGGAAAGGGTTTGTTAATGGTTGTTCTTTTCACTTGAACTTTGAACTCTAGGAGTTTTTGAAACAGTTGGAAATCTGGCCAAGACCAAAATCGCTATAATATGGAGTAAGAGTAAGTTATGTTAGTAGCTTTTACATGCATCTGCACTCTTTTCTCTACAAGC